GGAGAAAAGGCTATTACAGTGAAAAATAATAGTTACATTGCTAGAAGAATAAGTAAAAGCCCATTGAATTATTTAAAGAAAATTAAGGGAAAGAAAACCTCACTTATTCAAAGGAAAAGGGGCATTTTGCACAGTTTATGCTTCAGTAATTCTCTCAGTCAAATACAAATCATAAAAAACAAAAAAAAAATTTCCCCAAATCCAACAACAGGCAGGAAAAATAATTTTAAAAAAAAAGGAAATGACAAATTTGCCTCCTGGATTTTCCATTCTGGAGTTCTGAGAAGATTTTTCTAAAACATTTGAGCAGAATATTCTACATTTCCTGTTAAAAAAACACTATTTTGTAGAAGTCCAATGAAGACCAGTTTAGGAGTTCCATAACTATAAAATGACAACTATCAGATCAAATCCTGCTAATTATAAATTCTAAACTCCTCTGGCAGATTAATAATGTTAGCAGTCAACATGTGTTGAATTCTTATTATATACTAGCACTTCTCTGTTTTCCATGGCTTAATTCAACCAATTTTCACAATAATCTTATGTTCTAGGTGTCGATAATAACCACATTTTAAAGGAAGAAATAGAGGGGTTAAATAAATTTTCCAAGAAGAGGCAGAGCCAGGAATACACTTTATAGAATCTGGCTTTAGAGCAGCAGTGTCCAGCATAAATATACACCATGATCCATATACAAAACTCTAACCAACAACCACATTAAAAAGCAAGATTTTTAAAATTATAACTTAATGTATCTAAATATTTTCAACATGTGATCATATACAAAGATATTAATGAGGTATTTCACATTCTTTTTTTAGTACTAAGTCTTCAAAATCTGGTGTGTATTTTACACTTAGCAGCCTATCTCAATCCAGACTGGCTACACTGAAGTGCGTTACAGCTGCATACGACTGGTAGCTCTGGTGTTGAACGATGCAGGTCTACGGCTTGTTCTCTTGATATGCTACCACAATGGCATCTAAAAAGGTCTTTGTCATCGCTGCTATAGAATATTTATTTTTTCAGACATAGTTAAAGTATCAGTAACTGTAGCAGCATTTCATTGGTTGATCTTTTCCCAACCCCAGATAGAGAGTGGGACAGAAGAAAAAAGTTTATCTTATTGAGGAGAGGATTCTTCACAGCATCTCTGCTCATCATGCATCAGCTTCTATTCCAAATATCTTTCCAAGGATGTTTGTCCAGCCAACACCCCTGGAACACAGAGATGAGTCTCTCTTACAGGCAAATGGCAGATTTGTTTCCTGACCAGGATAATGAAAATAATATTCTCCTCTGAGGCAAAGATTGGGCAGGATTGCTAGCATCTCCTCCTAAGATTGAGAGTTTCCTAAGCTCACAGTTCCCCAGCTATGACATAAACGCACTGTGTGTAAATCATCCAACTGGGCCCCTCTGCCTCACTGCCATGGGACTTGGGAGTTAAGGGGAACCAATGCAAGCGTGAAGCTCATGCTACCTGCTGTGCCACGAGTAACAAATTCCTTTGTCTCTGACTCAGAAATCTTGTGTTCTGCTGGCCTATATGAAGCTGGAAGGCTTTGTTAGCTTGCCAGTAAAGTCCCAGGTCCCTCACAGTTCCTGACACACCTTTTCAGTGTTGTTGGATATTAAAATAGGTATCTCCCAGAGGAAAGAATTTACATTTTCTAGTTAGGAACAAGATCAGATCAATTTCCTGTTTTAGGATTAAAGTTTCTGAAAAATAGCAGGAATAAAATAGCTTGACTGTTTTTCCCACTATTACTGGGGTCTACTCCTGCTGTGAGAGTCAAGTTCCCACTTAAATTCCTTCATCACAGTAAACACCTTACCAAGGTACTCCAGTTTCTTTTACAAAGGAGTTATGCATACTATACCTTTCCACAACATTTGGCTTTGTCTATAATCTTTAGGGCAAACTCCTTTCCAGTGGACCTATGGAATAATCAGAAGAAGACCATTTAAAGACATAAATCAGATACCATCATTCCTGTTTTCTTTCTTCTTTATACTTTAAATTTGTTTTGTTTGTTTTTTGTAGAGACGAGGTCTCATTATGTTGTGTAGGTTGTTCGTGAACTCCTGGGCTCAACTGATCCTCCCGTCTTAGCTTCCCAAAGTGCTGGGAATACAGGCGTGAGTCACCACACCTGGCCCATTCCTGTTTTCTTCTATAGCACAAACCCAGGAAGGAAAAACTTGGCTCTTCCTCTGGGCATTAAAGAAAATATCTAGTGGAGTCAGGGAACAAAGGTACTCCCAAAATTAAAAACAAAAACAAAGCCAAACTATATGTTAATTAAATATTCTTTCATGAATATTAACTATAATATTAAGTAACTCATATTTAAAGTATTTCAATTCTGTTACATAAGGGAGAGGCAAGAAATATTTTTCTATATGTAAATCTCAAAATAGTTCTCTTAGGAGACAGAATAAAGTTTTAAAAAGTGAAATTAATGAAAAATTTTATTATCAATATATTTTTATATTAGTCCATTAATGACACTAGTCTATAATTCAAAAGTGAAAAGTCCCCTGACTTTCATTATTTCTCAGCCAAAACTTCAGCTAGGATCTGATCTGGTACCATGTTAGTCACACCTTTAAATGCTCTTTGCTGGCACTAGAAAGATCATTCACATGGGTAAAAGAATCTTGATGTTATTATTTATTTATTTATTTGAGACAGAGTCTCACTCTGTCAGCCAGGCTGGAGTGCAATGGTGCAATCTCAGCTCACTGCATCCTCCACCTCCCAGGTTCAAGCGATTCTCCCTGCCTCAGCTTCCAGAGTAGCTGGGATTACAGGCACCTGCCACCACCACTGGGCTAATTTTTGTATTTTTAGTAGAGATAGGTTTCGCCATGTTGGCCGGGCTGGTCTTGAACTCCTGACCTCAGGTGATTCGCTCGCCTCGGCCTCCCAAAGTGCTGGGATTACAGGTGTGAGCCACTGGGCCCAGCCACTATTTAATTTTTAATCACTTTTAAAATAATTTAATTTCAACATGCCAAAAATGTCTTTTAGTATAGAAAAACCATTCAATAAAGAACACCACGGTAGTCGTAGAATACACTCATTCTCTCAAGCACAGCTGGATTTGCCAGGTGGTCATAGTACACACTGATGAGGCCTGGCTTGGAAGAGTCACTTGTCCTTAAACTGTTCTCCCTATAACAAAAACTAAATCCTGCCTCAGATTTCTGACCAGTCTTTAAAAGTCATACTTCAGATGTTTTACTTTGTTACTTTGTTACTTAGGTGGCAGTCTGTGTATTAGAGCTGGGTAAAAGGCAGAGAACAAGGCATTACCTTGTGTAGCGATGTAAGGAGCCCTAAAGCTTCACTGGAGATGTAACAAAACGGAAACACTGTAGTTACCAAAACTTTCTGGAAAAGTCTCCAGAAATGATACAAATTATCACTTAGAATGGGAAGGACAGCAGCCTATAAACACCAAGACTCTAATCTGAACCAAGACTCTAATCTGACTCTTTTCTGGTTTGGAAATTGTTTATAAAAAATCTGGAATAGGCAAAACTAGGCTGATTGTGATTTTTTTTTCTTTTTTTTTGAGACAGGGTCTTGGTCTGTTACCCAGACTGAAGTGCAATGGCACGATCTTGGCTCACTGCAACCTCCGCCTCCCAGCTTCAAGTGATTCTTGTGCCTCAGCCTCCCCAAGTAGCTGGGACTTCAGGCATGTGCCACCCAATCTGGGTTTTTCTTGTTTTGTTTTTTGTTTGTTTGTTTGTTTTTTGTAGAGATGGGGTTTCAACATGGTGGCCAGGCTGGTCTTGAACTCCTGGCCTCATGTAATCCACACACCTCAGCCTCCCAAAGTGCTGGGATTACAGGTGTGAGCCAGCCCACCAGGCCTGGCCTGATTGTGATCTTAAACAGAGTCAGAGCTCATATATCCTAAACCACTGGAATATTCCATCAAGTATTAACTGAGAGGGAGGATTACTGTGGGAATAAAGCGATTTAATACAAGTACAGACTGAGAACAACGCTTGACACAGGTAAATACAGGAGATGTTCTTAAAAATGACTTATTCTTGTCATTCCTCTCCGGCTCATGATGACACCCTTATATATATCTCAGCCCAAATGCACATAAAACAGTTTTATACTCTATGTATATACATACTATATTCTTCCTGTAGGCACGCAAAATGGCCGATCCTGGCTGGGCACAGTCACTCACGCCTATAATTCCAGTACTTCCGTAGGCCAAGACAGGAGGATTGTTTGAAGCAAGGAGCCTAGGACCAGCCTGGCAACAAAGCAAGACCCTGTCTCTATTAAAAATTTAAAAATTAGCGGGAGGCGGAGGTGGGAGAATCATGGCACCCTGGAGATTGAGGCTGCAGTGAGCTATGATGGTGCCACAGAACTCTAGCCTGGGTGACAGAGTGAGACCCTGCCTTTTTTTTTTTGGAAAAAAAAAAGGGAAAGAAATGGCTGGTCCCAATGGCAGACTCAGGGAAAAGGAAAGAGAGACTTTCCAGAAGGGCCTTTTTAAAATTAAGAATAAACTCCAAGGAAAACTGTATCTGCAGATGAACAAAGAATTACCCTCACTGTCCACTCACCTGTCTATACACTCTTTGACTACTGCAAAATTGCCATCACCAATGACCTTTCCAATTTTGTATTTCTCAAGGAGAGTTGATGACTCAGAGCATCTATTTCCATTCACACCTGCAAAAAGGATAAATGCAAATTCTAAAGAAAACATCAGCATTTTATACTGATTGCTACATATTTGTAAAATAGTAAACTGTGATGCATTTATTTCTAAATCTATGGTGAAACTAAATAAAATATCTGGGCACATTTCCTAAACAGAACACCCGAATCATCAATTTCCTTTTGACTTTGTTGGTTGAAATCAGAAACCTACAATCAATAAACCTAACAAATCCCTGAAACATCAGGTGAAATAAGTGCTGAGCCTTAGGTAAAAAGGGTATTTCACTAAAACTTATCCAACCTTTTTTGTCGATGTTCAAGAAAGGGGCAGGGGACACAAGATGACAGAAAAAGAAAAAAATAACAAAGAAAGGAGAAGAGGATGGTGGTGGGAATTTAATCTTCAAAATGTTCAAGATTTCTCTTCAAGATTTTCTAGTAGAGAAAACTCTTAAGAGCCCAGATAAGATAGAGGTCTTGTTAAGGCTAATTCCTGGCTCAAAGCTTTCTCAAAAAGGTATGTCAGGGGGAGGGTTAAGATCGGCCCACTTCCCACTACATGTCCCAGTGTCCAGCACACAGAAGACACCAAATCAAGAAAACACAGTTTTGTTATCTAATTGAGAGAAAGGAAATATATTTAGAAGTTGTGAGCAGATCACCACAAAAATAAAAGAAGCCCAAGTCTAAAATTTGAAGCTTCAATAGCCTAGTCAACGACAATGAGATTTTTCTTTATCTTGAAGTGACCCCCATCCCCACCTCTTACTAAGGCCAAAGGGGCTGATAGGTGATGTGATCACGTCCCTCTTTAGGAAGACTGTAATTCAGCACAAGTGAGTTTTAGGTGAGCACCAAGTTCACGTGCATAATATCCTTTACCAAAGTAATGATCAGATTGAGAACTACCTTCAGGGCTCATGCAACGGTCAAGTTCAGGTCCACCGTTTACATTGGAAGAAGATCTGCCATGAGCAGAAGCCTGCTGAAAGAGGAGAATGACCATTATTTATCAGGATAATTCACAAATCTTTAGCTAACTAATCTGTTGACACAAAAAATGCTTACAGAATGTAAAAACATGTCACAGAAACCGAGGAGGCGCTCCCTTTCTTCTCATCTCACCTCTCTCCTTACGTACATCACACTAATGCATTTCTTCCTTAGATAGTTCATTCAGATTAGACACAAGAAAAATCATCATTGTTGCCTTTTTTTGAAATTATGTTATTTTTTACTTCCATAAAAGGAATTAAAAGACTCTATGGCATCACAGCTGGACAAGATAGTTATTAGTGGCACAATAAGGCTTAGAACTATAGAGAATTCTAATGGTTCCAGGTTAAACACGTGACTCCTAGGAGTTTAATCATTTTATTTCCTCATGATAAATAATAACTGATGGACAACTGCAATTTTTCAAAATTTAACTTTTTTGTTGTTAATTTTTAGCTGCTAAAATTGGAGGCAACTCCAAATCGACAGCACTCTGTGGCAGAATGTTTAAAAAGCTAAGTGTTTAAAAACAATGTCCAGAGAAGGGATGTAAAAGGAAAGCCTAAAAGAAAATCACACCATTCTCTGTTCCATTCCCCACCCACTGCCGCCACCCTGGTCCAAGTCCTTCTCCAGCTACACTTGGCGTTGCATCAAAGGCCTCTTTAGTTACTCTCCGTCTCTCCCATTCCACATAGTATTGCCAGAGAAATTTTTCCTGAGAACAGTTGAGATATCACCTCTAGGATTAAAAAACCCCAGTGTGTCTTTGTTACCAACATAATAAGTAACTCCAAAATCTTCAGCATGGCATTCAGGCCATGATCTGTCCCCTGCCTACTTGTCTAATGTGTTTCCCACCACTCGTTCTGATGCGTTTCATACTTACAATAATTCAATTTGCTTTTATCTTTCCAAAGTTACTTAAACTTTCAAGTCTTAATTTTCTCCTCTGAAAATGGAGATAGTAGCAGTGTCCAACTCAAAGATTTGCTAGAAAATAAAAATTAGCTTATCCCTGTAAAATCACTTTGTGTCTGACATGTAACACTAACTCAATGCTAGTTTATCAGTGTCTTTTTTAAAATCATCTAGCAGAGAACCGTGAAATGAGTGATTAAGAACGTGGGCTTGGTGCGGTGGTGCACACCTATAATCCCAGCACCTTGGGACGCCTTGATGGGTGAACCACCTGAGGTCAGGAGTTTGAGACCAGCCTGACCAACATGGTGAAACCCCGTCTCTACTGAAAATACAAAATCAGTCAGGTGTGGTGACGCATGCCTGTAATCCCAGCTACCTGGGAGGCTGAGGCATGAGAATAGCTTGAACCGGGAGGTGGAGGTTGCAGTGAGCTAAGATCGTACCACTGAACTCCAGTATAGGCAACAAGAGTGAAACTCCTTCTCAAAAAAAGAAAAAAAAGAATGTTTGTGAACTGTTGAATGTAAACGGCCATAAGAGACCTTTTGCTAAATAAAAGACAGGGTCTCACTCTGTTGCCCAGGCTGGAGTGTAGTGATGCAATCTTGGCTCACTGCAGCCTCCACCTTCCAGGCTCAAGGGATCCTCCCACCTCAGTCTCCCAAGTAGCTAGGACTACAGGTACACACCACCACACCCAGCTAATTTTTGTATTTTTTGTAGAGACAGGGTCTCATTATGTTTCCCAGGCTGGTCTCAAACTCCTGGGATCAAGCCATCTGCCCGCGTCAGCCTCCCAAAGTGCTGGAATTATAGGCGTGAGCCACCATTTGGCCTGGCCAGCTAAATTCTTAATGGGAATAAAGATAAGAACATGATTTTTCTGGAAAGTCATATCTCAGAAGATAAAAAGATCTCTGCTGATCACGGCCTGCCCCAGAATAAAGTAACGGGGGAGGTGGAAAGTCAATGCTCAGGAAGCATGGTGGACAGTGACCAGTGGACCCACATGTCTAATCTCACAGCCCAGGGAAACACAGCCCCACATGGTCAGGCCACAGGCAGCTGGGTCAGGCAAGGTCACTGGGCAGGAGAACCACCTCCTCTCCCAGTACTCAGGCCTCAGGACTTTGAGCAGAGTGCAGGTCCCCACACCAACTGCTGAGGTCCTAAGACCTGTACCTGGGTCCCTGCTCTCCCCGAAGCCTGCTCGTTCAGATATCCTGGAAGCAGGTAATGGTCCTGCAACAAGTCCTGTTCTTGAGCTAATCTGGGTAAGCACTGGGTTACCGCAACCTGATGTGTTGTCTGAGTCAAGGACACTCATCACATTGGGAGGGGCTGAAACACAGGCATTTCTACTTCAATGTACATTTTCACGTGGATCAGTAACTAATCGAAGTGTTTATCACTTGAGTTCCTGTGGACCATTGTAATGTTCCCAATGTTTATTTTGATTAAACCTTCACTCCCACCCTACCCAGATCCCCTGTACAGCTCAGCATTTACAAATCTGGCATGTGTTGGGATTTGTGGGTGACATTGAGCAGGGAAAGAGACCAGGAAACAGGACAACTGATGGAAGGCTGGTCTCCAGTGACTAAAAGACAGTGGCACCTGGGCTGAAGCCTTGAGCCTCAGAAGGAAAAAGGGGGCCTTGTGGCAGGGGGAGAGGGGGCGGGGGGAGGGAGGGAAAAGGAGAGAGAGAGAGAGAGAAAGAGAGAGACAGAGAGAGAGAGAGAGAGAGCATGAGAACGAGAGAGCACAAGAGCGAGCATGGCATGGGGCCAAGCAAAGGGCCACTTTCAAGTGTACCTAACAAAGTCTCCACTAAATACCGGGAAATGCAGCTTCTTAGCAAACAGTAAGGCCAAGGACATTTTTCAAAGCTGTCAAATTAGTATTTTTTTAAAAAGTGTTAAGCCTCAAGCATTAAAACAAATAAACAATTATGTAGCGTTAACAGGGATGGCTTATCCAATTACTTAACCAAATATGCTCATTTATTTGAAAATATGCCTTTCCTAAAGAGAAGAAAAAAACATGAAAAAATAAAAGGGATAATTTTATTATAGTGCAGCTGAACAGAGAAACATAATTAGACACAGAGACAATTTTCTTTCTCCCTCTTCACTCCTCTGTAAAATCTACAGCAATGACTTGTGCTGTTTTAAGGGATAAGAAGATTAAGACACATCGTTATTACTGCTCAGATGTTTACAATCTAATGAGGAGGGACAGGTGCACCTAAACTTAAAACCGTCAGTGAAACCTCTGCATTTCAGGACAGGTGCTGATGGTTACAAATGACTCTGAAGAGCCGTGAGAGGGAGCCATTTTGCTACAGCACAAATCTGAGCTTGCGTTTGAATTGCTCAGCTAGGAATTCAGTTCATCGGACCTCCCACTAATGAAGCCTGGCTTTCCAGAGGTAGAAGAAAAGCTGGGTATTCAGCAAGATCTCTGAACAGATCGCTGGCAAATGTGAAGCATCTATTGTTAAATATAAGGCAAAGCATTCCCAGTGCCCTGAGAAACATGCAGACAAAGAGCAATGAAAACACAAGAAATAAAGCTATGACTTCGCACAATTCTCATCATTTCCTTTGCAAAATTTGTATATTCCCTTGTCTCTTGTAAATGAACTACTCTCTTAATGAAGCAAGAATTAAATTAGTACCAGCAAGATCAAATACGGCATTTAAGATTAAACCTGTCCCATTTCTATTGTCAAACAATTTCTATTAAAATCTCTTAAAATGCTAATGAGCATTCCTGCTTCCATCAGCAACTATGATGCTGAGACAGCACAAAGAAAAGTGCCTAGATGCTGTATGCTAGCAAGGTCCTTCTCCATAAAGCATAATGGATGGCAGTATTTACAGTTTTTCAGGACACCATTCATAATTACCAGTTGGTTCAGAGACAGCATTGTGTTTGACAGTGGCAAGGGGGCGGGGGATATATTTCCTAGTGAGGTCCTGATTCTGATCGGCCAAGGAGGGAGGCTGACAGGAGAGAACCTTGAAGGTATTGCTGAGTGTCTTCTCTGGGATCTGGTGCCCCTGCACCACCTTGCTACTTCTCTGGCAGCAGTGGCTCCATTTTTATTAATAAGCAAGGAAGGGAAATGTGCAAGAATCCTCTTCTGCTAAAAACTTTTTTTTTTTTTTTTGAGACGGAGTCTCACTTTGTCACCCAGGCTGGAGTGTAGGAGCATGATCTCGGCTTATTGCAACCTCTGCCTCCTGGGTTCAAGCGATTCTCCTGCCTCAGTCTCCCAAGTAGCTGAGATTACAGGCACCCGCCACCATGCCCGGCTGATTTTTTTATATTTTTGGTAGAGACAGGGTTTCACCATTTTAGCCAGGCTGGTCTCGATCTCCTGACCTCAAGTGATCCACCTGCCTTGGACTCCCAAAGTGCTGGGATTACAGGTGTGAGCCGCCATGCCCGGCTGCTGAGAACTCTTTTAAAAAGACTTGAAAACAGAGCAGAAGACGCTTTACAGTGCTCTCAACTGCTAGCATCATTTAAAGGCATTCATGGCTGATTGCGGACATCTGATGAAGAGCAACACTCCACTTTTCTACGTTTTTAGCCAGGGAGTTATGTCAGAGGGTCCTATGTTAAACTTCTTTGATAAGCAGATTACCACAAGTTCTACAAATCTGAAGTTTAAGGAGAAATGTTAAGTACTACACTAAACTGTTTTCTGTTCTGAAATAGACAAGTCTCGAAAAAAAAGTAGCAAGAGTGATTCCTTACTGCATTATCGCATATGACTGTTGACTTGAGTATAATGCTAGCTATCCTTGTGCTATATTGGTTTTCCTCCATGTTCCTGGCTCATAACTCCCACAGCCCTTGTTATAATGTTGGGATGCTTTAGGCCTCAGAAAACAATCTCTCTGACCTTCTCCTGCCCTCCTTTCACCTGCCTAAGGCAGGACTCAAATCTGACTGCAGTCATAAGACTCTCATTCCAGAGGAGGTCCTGCCCCGTACCCTGAAGCGAGGAATGCTCTACAAAGAGGCTAAGAAAAATCAGAACAAACCGACTTT